TGAAAACAAAAAAAAAAGAAAATAAACTTTTTTTTTAAGGATTGAGGGAAATAAAAAAAAATTTCCAGTGAAAATTTATTTTAGATTGCCAAAATTCATTTTTTCCTTTTGTTTTCTTGTTTTGCGTTTGCTGAATTTTATTTACTTTGGATCATAATAGATTACAGTTGGTATTGATATTTATAAGAAAAATAAGTTAAAATTTTGATTTATATTAAAACATTGGCGAATTATGAATTTACGCCACGACGTACGCGTCGTTAATTACAATCGGCGATTATTATTTTAATCATTTTTATGCGACAAAAAGAATGATGAAGAAAACATTTTCATTTTGAAATTTTAAATTTTCACCTTTATTGAAGTAATTTTCAAAATCTATCACATAATTGTGATTTAACAACTGAAACCAAAATCACCTTGAGGAAATACATTGCATAATGAAATTTAATCATGAATTTTTACATTGAACGACATTGAAAATCTACAAATTTACACATAAGAAGCACAAATCTATTTCTTCCAAGTTAATCAATAATGATTTTCAATTTCAAAAAGAATTTAAAATTGAAAAATGATTTTAGAATACCAGTTTCAATTTTTCTGTATATAGAAAAGCTTTCAAAATCTCATTATCTCGTTAAATCTTGTTTACAATAGACAGTAAAATAGAAATAAAATAACAAAAAAAAAATTGAGGAATTTTTTACCAGATTTGGTAACAATAGAGATTTGCGATTTTTTATTTCCATTGTACATTTTGTGTATCTACATACGAGTATATAATGTCGTATGTGTATATATTTTTCTTATCTGAAGCCACTAAATAAAAAAAAATGCGAGTGTCAAAATGAAATTTCTGACCCACTTTTATTTTAACATTAATTTTTACTATAAAAATCAGAAAAATTCTATATAACGGAAACAAACTGTACTACATGTATTGAAACATTTGTTAGCATATTTACAAGGAACTTAATTTTAAAAAAGCCTAACAAGACAGCTTCAATGGAGACAATAGAATACAATTTGGTTTTTTAATAAGAAAATGGCTATTCCAAAAATAAATTAAATAAGCTTTAAATTTAAATTCCTTAATCCAAGATTAAGTATGTAATTTAATTTCGGTAATTATTTTATATCAATTACATTGCAAGTAGATATGCGGTTACTTCCTTTAGTGTGTCAGCTTTTGTAAACGGTATGCGTACGTACTATACAAAACTAGATTTCTAAACTGATATTTGACTTTGATGTGAAAAATTAAACTTCTAGTATAAAATATTTATTTAATTCAAATTTCTATTAAATTAAAATAAATTCTTATAAGGTAGTTTGTATTATATATTCAGTATGTTTGTTCTTTAAAAGAGCATATAACGAGTTAGTTGCCAAAAATTTGATTAAGATCAGGACCTACGTGCACCAATAATTTTTTTTTGCTCTTATTTTTCAACTATTTTATTACCATAATTCATTAGAGTTCTGATTCTTAGCACAAATTTTAAAATTTTTAACTAGATTTCGTTGAATGAAGCTTCGGTTATCAAAAGCATTTGGGTGCTCTTTTAAAATTATGAAAATTTGATCTGTTTGTAAAAGTATGAAGAGTGGACGCGACCAACTATATTTTTTATTTTATGTATATTGTATATTTATATACTTACGAATATGTACATAAATTTTATATTTTTTATCATCGTTTTGTCGAAAGGAATCTGCTGATGGTGTTACTATATACTACTGACAAAACATGATGAATTAATTCTTGTATTTATTCTTTCTATTTCTTGCTGTTAAATTTATTGTTTTCCCTTCTTGGACTATCTAATGCTTTTTTTTTCGTATATTTGACAGATTTTTACCATAAAAGTAGCAAATAGAAAATAATGCTTTTTTTTATTTTATTTCGTTTAAAAAAAAATTTGAATTAAATTGAAATAAATCTTAAAATGAGAAATTATTCTCCATACTATTGTTAAATAAATGCGTTTTATATTTAAATTTTAAATTTAAAAGGAAATTTCACCAAACGTTTTCAAATGTTCTGGTTGTTTAGTGGCTTAAATGGAAATTTTAAAATGGTGGTATCATATGGACAGAAAATGAAATAAAAAATGATGATGTTGTTTTGCAAAAAAATAAGGCAAAATAAAAAATAACTTTATTTTTAAATGGAAATTCCCCCATTTTTATACCCTTACTATAAAAATTCACTATAGTCCATTTTCTGATGGATAATCGGGTTGAGGTTTTCTTTTTTAAAGGAGAAGGAAATGAATTTTTGTTTTAATGCATATTAAGGATAATACTTTTTTTTGGTTTTCTGAATATAAAAAAAAAAACCAATATGAAATGATGTGACAATATGATGAGAAAATAAATAAAAATGAAAAAAGGCAAGCATAAAGCATAGATAACGAGTATAAAGCAGCAAAGAGCCCAAAGAAATTACTATGAAGTACATAATAACGTATTGGAAAACGTGTGCCAATTTCAATTCAATTTAGATAGTTAACCGATAAAGAAATTTAAATAGAATTTGATAATATCTAGATATTATTTTTGTGGTATCACAACTGGCCCAAATAGCCTAAGTGTATTCTGGCATGGCCTCGTCAAAGTAACCTAACCTAGATAGTACTTTATAATTTTTGTATTCTAGCTTGTATGATGTTGTTATAATTTTTTTTTAAATTATTAATTTTTACAAAATTTTTATGAAAACTAATTTTAAGTAAATATTTTACTACTGTTTTTATATCTGCATATAATGTGGACCTGATATGCGTCAAGTATTGAAATTTACTTGAAAATTGTACGTATTATGTATATTGTATAGTATTATGATAAGAAACAAATGCATTGCACAGACGCTTCTTACTTAATGGAGCACGTGTGCTGACAAAAACATACACAATGTATGCATGCGATTCATTAGATCATTCATGAAAAATAAATTCACATGATTTTCACTTGTTAAAAGAAATTTATGAATAATTAATATTACATGGGTGAATTGGCATTAATTAGGTTTCTGAAAATACATTTGGGTAAGTTTTCTGGACTTTGTAATATTCAAAATATTTAATTAAAAAATATCTGATAATTATACCTTTTATTTCAACTGATTTGATTATTCCTATTAATAAATTGTACATTAATTAAGTTTTTGCTACCTATTTAACTTATTATAAACAGGCATATCTGAATTTATTTCACGTGTACATTCAGATTTGACCACATATGATTGTTATTTTAACTTGATAAAAAATATGTACCTACCATCTTGAATATGAAAAACTTCGTTTTTTATTTTATGGATAGTAATGTAGATATGTATGTTGTATACCCTCTAATATTTATATTAAATTTCATTAAAGCATATAATAGCCCTTACATGTTCATTAAAGTTGTGCCAAATAACGCAAATTAGCTATTTTTCTCGTCAAAATTATTCACTACTCTATTAGATCTTTTCCCTTCCTCTTTGCTTTAATTGCTTTTTCCTTCAATCCATTCCAGCTTTTTGGTTAAATTTTACATTATATAAATCCTGCATAGTTTGCTTTTATTTGCATGAAATTTTTACTTTTTCCTGCAATTTGTAATTCTTTTCATAGAGAAAAAAATCCAGTCCATATTTTGAACTTAAGTTTTTTCTATATTACAAAACAAAATTTTAATCTAAACTTTAAAAGAGGGCGGTCTTTTCTTTATATTGTTAACTTTCAAGTTTCAACAGTGCTGCCGTCAAAGAAATAAAAAAGTCGCTAAATTACACCTCGAAATTTTCTATATTCATGTCAATTTTAGATCAGAAAATCGGCCAGAACCCACTAAAAACATCCAATTCTATATTCCTCTTTTTTTTTTGTTCTTTTAAAATTTAAATGTCACTTAATTTCCACATTGTCCTTCAGAAAATATAAGAAAATTAATAAGTTTAAGAAATTATATGCATAAATAAATCAAAACAAAGTAACAGCAGAAAACAAAATCAGTACAAAATTACATTTGTGCTAATTTTTAGTAATATTTCAAAAACGAAACCGAAATCTCCTAATTGCAAAACTACTAATACAGTTTGTGTGAAAAAGAATGAAACGTATTGAAAAAAACTAAAACAAAAAAGGGCCACAAGCACTACTTATGTGGAAAAAAGGAAAAATGATACAAAATTTTAAAAATTATAAATTCAAGCACCAGTTACATACAATTCAGTTTGTGTTACGACCGATTTACACTATTCTTCTTTTGCGATTTTCTAAAATAATCATGTATGCATGCATTTGCGTATTAAAAATTAAAAATATTTTGACAAAATTAAAGCGAAAGAACCATAAAAAATAAAGATAAATAAATTTTTGACAATCACAACCATATGTCGCATGCATTGAAAAGTAATCCTGTCAAAGTAAGCAAAATCGTACTGAGAATTAAAATCGATTACAAATTATATAGCTCTATATAATTCTATAAATTATGTTATATAAAATTTTCCTTTGATTTCATTCCTTAGAGCGTTTTTTATTTTATTACCGAGGACAAAAGCGGAGCAGCGAACGGTTCAGTATTTTGCATATAATTTCACATACACATGGAAACAGATGATATCAAAAAAATCGCCAGAAGTAAAATAGGATTTTAATCTATGTTACCGTCTTTCCTATAAGAATTTTGACATTTCCAGAGGGAAATCGCTTTTGTTCTGTTTTCAATTTATATCTACTTCAAAGACGCCACACCAGGCGTCGTTTTGATCGAAAAAGCGGCTTCTAAAAGCTTTCTTTTTTTGTGGTAAAACTTAAACTGTTTGAAATATTTTTAAAATAGAAATAAAATTCATAAATATATAGAGAAATAAATGAACTTGTTCCAAAAAAATTTAAGCAATCGTTTTTCACTTTTCAATAAAAAAAAAATAAATTTCTTTTAAAAACTTATATTTGAGAAAAAATAAAGATATTAATGTGAATTTACAAGTTAAAGTAAAAGTAATGGGATCCTATGAAAATAATTCAATTGCTGAAAATTTCTCCAAATCTGTGCTTTCTGATTCATCAGTAATTTTTTCGTACGTTTTTGAAAATATTTCAAAGCTAAGTGGAAAGAAAAAATCACCCTCGTGCCATATTAACAATTTACCATGGAATATATTAATAATGGCAAATATTAAAAATACATCAATAATGTCCAAAAAGTATTTGTCTATATATTTACAATGTGATCCAGATGATGTTCCGAAAAATTGGTCATGTCAAGCGTCTGCCGACATTAGCATTATGCCAGTAAAATTAGGTGCAGAACCAATAACCAAATCTATTACAAACTTATTTACAGCGAAAGTTAATGATTGGGGTTTCACTGATTTTGAAAGTTTTGAATATTTATTGAATCCAGAGAATGGTTATTGCACAAATGATTCAATTATGATACAGATGCATGCAAATGTTGATATCCCACATGGTGTGTTTTGGGATTCAAAAAAATATACAGGTAAATATTTTCACTAAATTTTTAAATATAAGTAAAAATTGTATTAAAAAATTAGGCGTATTAGTACCAAACGCTCATAATTATATTGGTATGTTTGCAATTATACCATCAACATAAATTAAAACGGCTCATTAAAACAAATAACAGCATTTGATAATATGCATATATGCATATGTATGTATTTATTTGATTATGAAGTTCTGTAAAAATATGATATTAATGTCGTGATTTTATTATAATTTTGAAGCATTACACCTAAGTGAGTTTAAAAAACAAATATTAAGTTCTTTTGCTGATTTGTTTGCCTACCTAACCTCGTTATGTAATTTGTATACATATGTATTTTCTTTTCCTGATTAAGGTTTTGTTGGCCTAACTAATCAAGGTGCAACATGCTATATGAATTCATTATTACAAACAATATTTTTTACAAATGAACTACGACGTGCCATATACTGTATGCCAACTGAAGCTGATGATGCAAAGAAATCTGTTGCATTTGCATTACAACGTTTATTTTACGATTTGCAGTTCTCCGATAAATCAGTTGAAACTAAGCTTTTAACAAGTAGCTTTGGTTGGAACACAATGGATTCATTTACACAACATGATGTGCAGGAATTCTTGCGTATTCTATTGGCAAAAATTGAAAAGAAAATGCAAGGTACCAGTTTAGCTTCAGTTGTACCGAACTTATTTTCTGGTAAGATGTGTTCATACATCAGATGTAAAAATATTGATTTTAACAGTTCAAAAGATGAAACCTTCTATGATATTCAGTTAAGAGTTAAAGATAAAAAAAATATCTATGAATCATTTCAAGATTATATAGCACCAGAAATACTAGATGGTGAAAACAAATATTTTGCGGATAATTATGGTTTACAGGAAGCTGAAAAGGGACTTATTTTTAAGTCGTTACCACCAGTATTACACTTACATTTAATGAGATTTCAGTATGATCCATTAAGCGATAGTTGCATTAAATTTAATGATTATTTTGAATTTTATGAAACTATAGATCTTTCAGAATATTTAGTTACAGAAGATTCCCCAAATGATGAAGAACATAAAGTAGCCAAATATAAATTGCATGCGATTTTGGTTCATTCTGGTGATAATCACGGTGGTCATTATGTTGTTTATATAAATGTAGATGCAAAAGATAAATGGTACAAATTTGACGATGAAGTGGTGTCAATTGTTACATCAAAGGAGGCGATCGAACAAAATTATGGTATCAAGCAAGAAGATAAAGCTAAAACAAACAATACTAAAATATATAGCAGTGCTTATATGTTGTCATACATAAAAATACCAGACATACCCGAAATTTTAAAAGAAATAAATGAGACTGATATTAATATGGAATTTTTAGAGCATCTTAATGAAGTAAAACGGATTGAAAATATTGAACATTCCACAAACAATCAAAATAGAATTCAGATAAATGTTATTGATGAAGATAACTTTGATATTGAGAATACACGCAATTTCTTAACAAGCAGCAAAATTAGTTACGTAACATTTCGAGTTGATGTCAAAAAAACGATACGTGATCTAATAAATTTGATATCAAGTACATTTAAAATAAAAAAAACGCGATTTCGCTTATGGTCTTTATTAAAATTATTTGATAACGTAAAACTAATTTATTTAGATAATCATCAAAATTTAGATCGACCTTTGCAATCGTTGACCGAATTACGTAATCCATGGTATTTGCTAATGCAGTTCTCAAATACTTTGAATTTATACCCAATAGAACATTTTGACCCAAAGCTACAAATCTTTGTTATTTATAAATTATTTCAAAATGACAAAAATCAATTAATTTTTTTAAGTATATCATACCGCAAATTTCAAGATAAGATATCTGATATTGTTGAAGAAATGAAATTAATTTTGAAAGAACAATACAATGTAGAAGATGGATGTGAGTTTAAAGTTTATGATGAAAATTCTGGACAAATACTGGACTATACAGATTCTTTAGGTATATTATAAATTTCTTTAATTTGGTATAAACATATATAAATTTAAAGTAATACGATTTTGTTTAAGTTGTTTGCATACAAACAATTTGGTTCTTGCTTTGTTTTACCTATATTTAAGATAAAATCGAACTTACAAAACTCGTATGCGATTACATTGCGTTCTTGTAAACATTTTTCAATTTTAAATGTATATGCATAATAATAATACATAGCTATTTTATGCTTTTAGATATTTGTTTTAAATTAAAGAGAAACGAAACTAACTTTTTGACTCTAATTTTTGAAAAATGTTCACGTAATAATGACATCTCTATTAGTCCATCATATCAACATTTTATATTAGATCGACATAATGAAATTGAAGTTTCGTTTATTAATAAATCTACAACTGCAACTCCAATAATGACACTTAAATTGCCAGAAAATAATAATCTAGAACAAATGGCCTATGAATTTTGTAAAAATATCAATGTTGAAACTGATAGAATTCAATTTTTTAAGACAAATTGTGTGTACTCACCGCCTTTGAAAATTGATAACTCTACATTACTTCGGGATATATTTAGGGCAAGATCTTCTGCAAAATTATTCTATGAAATATGGTCAATGAATATTAATCAAATGAAAAATAAGTTGAAATTTCCTCTACAATTTTTATCATCAAATTTACGTGACGAAAAAAAATTAATACTTTACATCGATAAAAATGGTTCTATATCAGATGTTATACAAGCTGCCAAAAATGAAATTAATATAACTGAAAATGAAATAAATTATCGGTTAGTAAAGATTGAAAACAATGTTATAATTCAAAAGCTTCACGATGATGTTAAATTATCGAATTTGGATCAGTTTTGGGAGAGTGATTTTCAATTAACCATAAAAGATTGTTATCGTATTGAAGAAGTAGAAAAATATGACACAACATTATACAATAATATTGATATAAAGGATGTTGATACTCGTATTACTCCCAAAAGTGATAAATTTATTTTGATTCCTGTAATGCATTTTTATAAAATAGTGAAAAATAGTTTTGGTGTACCATTTTTTGTAATGGCAAAATTAAATCAAAGTTTTGAAGAAATTTGTGATGAAATTCGGAAAAAACTTTGCGTGTCAGAAACTGAATGGTCAGATAAATATAAAATATGTATTGTAAATTATCGAATTTCAACCAGTGTTACTTATTTAAATAATAATAATTCAAAACAATCTGGCGCACTTCAATATTTTCGAGAAAATAGTGATGGGTTTTTTACATTTCATATTGGATTGGACCACAAAAATAAAACTAAAAAAAAATCTAAAGAGTATTTTGAAAAATCCTTAACAATTTATGACTAAAACAATCATTATTATAGAAATTCATGAAGATTAAGAAACTCATGAGGATTAAAACCATGTATTTAAATGTAATATTTAAAATAATGATATACTTTAGAATGTCTTATAAATGTTTGGTGTATTTGAACTTTTAAGCATGTTACCAAACTCAGATTATAAGTAAAGTAGATACATATTCACAAATTTTTGAAATTACATTTTTCACAAATGTGTTGCATGGGAAAAGGTTGCACGTTCAATAAACTTTAACATTTCAAATATAAATTTTTTTTATTAACATTCTTTATAGATTCTTTAAATGTTTTATTTATTTTCAATGTCCATTAACCTCTATTAAACAATTTTAGAATTTTAGTTCAATATCCGGCTAATTGTATTTAATCCTTTATCATTGGCATTAATTTACAATATCATTTTCAACATTGAAAAATAAATTAAAGTTTCATCATTTTACTTTATTTTTAATTTATTTAGCGGTTTTTAAGAGGATTAAAAGAAAACCTAAAGAAAATAAAAATAATTAAATGTCATTTCTATATTTCTATACAAATAGGCTATATTTAAGCAGATTAATACAGGCAAAAAAGGATTTTATTGTTCAAGGATAAGAAAAATATTCGAAACAAATTTTTTATGTGGATCAATTGAAAGTTTTTATTTAATTATAAAAAACGAAGTTAAAGTAGAAGATTTTAAGTTTTTCATTTCTGGCAATTCATAAGAAAGTATTTTAATTTTTCTCAGAAAACTTCTTTTTGTATAATATTAAAACATAAAAGTATTTATTTCTTCATACCATTTATTAAATTTGATTTAATGAGTAAAAAATGGAAACAAACTAAATTTAGTTTCAACAATTCCCTTGTACAATTTGCAACTGATGCAAATCATTTGTAATTTTAAATGTAGTTAATTCAATATTAAAAAGCAATATTATTAAGATCAAACATTGTTATTGATCAATTTCATTTTTCATAATAATAATCTCAAGTCAATAATAATCTCAAGTTTCAATTTTTTAAAAACAGAAAAAATAATTTTTGTAAGTTGAAAAGCTTTGGCTTCAAAATATTCTATTAATATAATTTTTTTAGATGGTATAATCTTTCTTTATCAATAAGAAAAATATAAAAAACACACACTGGAGAATATTAAATTTCATGGCAAAAAAAAAAATATATTTTTGAAAAATATCAAATTTACTATTGTAGTGCTTTACAAATAAGAAAAAAATTTTTTTTTAGTAAAAATAGATCGTTACAGACCGCAGAAATTCATAATTAGATTTCAAAACGTGATCAAGTTTTATTTTCACAATTTTTATAAACTCAATTCACATGTTTGAATGGAACACTGGGGCAACAAAATGTGAAATAAAATTAAAAACATTTTATTTACAATATTATTATAGACATATATGTATGTACATGTTTAACTTTTTTTTTAATTTGAATATGAAATTTGAAGAAAAATTAGAAAGAAAACAAAGTTTGTATACATACATATATGAAGTAAATTTTATAAAATTTTAAATAAGTAGAATAAATTCAAAAGGTTAAGTTAATATTAATTTTAATTATAATAGATTTCATTTGGTTATTTGATGTTTTACTGGTTTTTAATATTTTTCAATATTTTTTTAAATATCTAAGTTGCGATATTTAATTAAGAAAGTTAGTCATGCATTCAAATAAAAATCCTCAATTTTAATTCAATTTAGATTTCTGATAGAACAGTAATAAAATAGAAAGAGCTCCAGAAACAGCATTGAGTCCCACTAAATGAAGTTAAGTTAGTGCTGCTATATTTATAATATGTAAATGTTTATTATATTAATAAAGATAACTTGGATTTTTTTGAATTTATGATTAAAATATGAATAATTAAATAACTAATGAGGCGAAATTAATGTGCAATTCTAAAATTTTTCAAGCAAAAAACTGAATGTACCATTTTGAAAATTTTAATGTAAAAAAGTAAAAGTTTTTTACATATATAAAAAAATGTTTGTAATTTTCAATTTCCGTTCAATATTTATCGCATAGTTTCTAAATGACACAGAAAATATTTGTCTCAAAACAATAAAAAAAAATTTTTTTAAGTAAAAATTATTTTACAAAAAAGTTTATATTTTTTATACGAATTTTTTATCTTTAACTTTTATGCTCATTTCCTTATATCTGTGTACTTCCAATTATATTGTCATTAAAGGAAATATCAAAAGCAAAGAACAACAACCAAAAACATTTTGACATGTTGCTAGTATTTAGAAACCTTACAAAGAACATAATTTTTTCCATATTTTGCCCTTTTTTTTTTCCTTTTATGCATTTGCAAAATGATATGAGGTGGATGTAATTCCACCACAAATATTGGGAAGCATATGGAAGAGTCTACAATTTCCGATTAATTTTGTTTTTTCTCTTTGCTCCCGTTTTTAATTTCCCATTTTTTTTTTACTTTATATAGTATATACGGTTTTTACTTTGTTCTGTATGTACGGTAAGTTCCACCTTCGATAATCAACCAAAAACAAAAAAATGAACAAATTCTTTTCTACCTGATTTACCTTGACAAAATGTATCATTTAATTTTATTTTTAAGAATTTTTTTGTTGGAATACAAATATGTAGTAAAACATCACCTACAATAATAAGAACAACTGTCACTTATCGGTTCATAGGCCTTTTTTTTTGTATTTTTTGTTTTAGTTTTTAATAATATAGAACCATACATACTTATATAAATAGAAATGAAGTGGAATTTGAGAATTTATCAATATATTATAATAATGTAGTATATGAGTAGATATTCTACCTTGTATAAGTAGAAAACAAATTATGTATAGTATACGCTAAGTACCGTATTCGCTGTAGCACAATAATGCATGTACATTGTATATGAAAAAAACAAACTGATCATGAAATTCGATATTCTTCAACATTTGTCTTCAAAATGTCTCAGAATTTTATTTTTTTTAATATACACATAAAGTAGTGGTATATGTGTTTTTTGTTTAAAAATGGAATTTAGTTATTTAAAGCATTATTTGCTAGATAAGTTTATAAATTTATATTTTAATAAATTGCGTTTCCACAAGTTTAGTATTGAGTTCGAGAGAATCTAAAAGTATGCAATTTATCTAAATACGTAAAATGCCTAAATTTAAATTAAGAATAAATTTTATGAATTTTTTTTATTAATACTGTTATTTGATTTTTAGGTACATTGTGAATTTTTTAATGAGGATTGAGAAGTTTGTTCTTAATGAGGATTGAAGCTTAAGAACTAATTAGAGACAACAGAACTTTAATAATTTTAACACAGTTCGTTCATAGGGTAAAAAATGAAATAAAATGTGTAAGTTTTACCGTCTTTTTTTTCAAAAATGTGAAAACAAATTAAATAATTTTCAAAAATGTTCAAGACTTAGTGAATTCGTTTTGGAAGGTTACAAGTTTAGTCGATATTTTTAAAATTTTTGCACGATATATTGAGATAAAATGGGACATCAACTAAAAAGTCCATTCTGATTGACAAAATGAGTATTCCAAAGAAGTGATGCAAAAGATAACCATAATGATAAAAATAAAATCGCAGAACAAGATTGCAATTGAAATTTTAAAATTTTACACTTACCTTGTACATTATGTATATTTGCTATACAATAAGTATTTCGAATTTTGTGTTGTCGAAATAAAATAACATTGAATTCACAATTAACTCAAAAATATTAACTTAAAAATTTTTACCTTGCATTTTATCATTTATGGTTCCTGTTAGAGGATTTCTTTACAATATTAAATATAATATTCAAAAGAATTTTTTTTTTTTGAATATTTTTTCAATACATGAATAAGGTATTGTGTCATAAGGAGGAAATTGTTTTTTTTTTTTTTGTCTTCTTTGTTATTATTATTCTTTTTTTAGTACTCCTTTTTGTAAAAATATCTACTCCTTGAAAGAATTATATTTTAGAATATTCTTTTAATTTTTTTATATAACGAAGATTTTTAAAAAGGAACCGTAGAAATATTATTATATATGTATATTGTAAGAAAAATAATATCCTTTAAAAATGTTAACATACTTTATACTTCCATTTAAACTTACTACATATACAATGGTGGTTTTTAAAGAAATCTTCTACTGTTCTATTCAAAATTTTAAAAATTTTTGAATAAAATTGTCCTTGTAGAATTGAAGTTAAGCAAAGCAACGAAAATCAAAAGGGTTCTCTGCACTATTGTTATTAATAATTGAGTAAAGAAAGATTTGTCAACGCAGAAATTTTTATTTTCTCAGCAAAAAGAAGTAAGGTATAATATGTGTACAAAGGACATTTGAAAAGAAAACCTCATAAACTTTGTTCGCTTCTAAAATTACTTTTATATATTTTTTTTAATTTCTTTTTTAATTTTATTTCATATTTTTCTTTTCCCCATTTATTTTCCATAAATATCAAATTACGTCGCGTGAAATTCCTTATGTTTTTTTTTATATTCTTCACCTTGTTAAAAAAGGAGTCTTTTTTGATAGGAGAAACACAAAAAAAAAACAAAAATGAAGAAGGATAAAAGAATTAATAAAGAGTTTGTAAATACATTCATATTTTTTTTTTAATTTTATTATAATAAAAATGATTCACATTTTTGCTTTCTTATGGTTTATTACGTACATATTTCTATTCCGACAAAGGACATTTACAATAAATCCTTTTTCTCTTTTTCCTGGTGTGTAATTTATTAGTATAAAATATAATTTAAATATCAAGGTTACATTTTCTCATATATATATACTTAAATGTATACAAATTTATAATTTTGGTGTAATAATGAAATAAAAGCAAAGGTGAATCATTAAAATGTTGAAAAAAGTTCTTAAATTATTCTTAAGATTTATTTCAACTTGTTTTTTTTTTATATTAAAATAGTCCGGAAATCACAATAAAAAATTATATATTTTTAATAAAAATTCTTTTTCCTCATTATTCTATAAAATTAATTAATATTTTGTAATCGGACCAA